GATAAAGGCATTCATGGATGCCCGTTACATCACATCGGGAGAAGCATGTTGGAGAATTTTTAGGTTTGATATATACACTCACTCTCCAACAGTACTGCGTATGTCTTGTCATTTGCCTGGTGAGAATACAGTGTATTCAAATGTTGATTCTAACGTGGAGGAAGCGGTTGAGTCTAGCAGTTCCCAAACCTCAATGTTGTTAGCATGGATGGATCTCAATCTTCAGTCAATGGATGCTCGGAAATATACCTTTGCGGAGATGCCACAATATTATGTATGGAATAAAAAATACAAGAAGTGGCAGCAGCGCAAAAAAGGTACCTGCATTGCTAGATTATATTACTGCTACCCATCCGCAAAGGAGCGATACTATTTGCGAATGCTATTGCATGTTGTTAGGGGTTGTTGTTCTTATGATAATATTAGAACAGTGAATGGGGTGGTATATGAAACATTCCAAAAAGCATGTTATGCTCAGGGACTGTTATCAGGAGATTCTGAATGGAATGATTGTGTCCAAGAAGCTTCGCACTGGGCTTCTGGTTATAAACTTAGAAAACTTTTTGTCACAATTCTTATTCATTGTCAGGTGGCTGATGTGACTTCTTTTTGGTTAAAGAATTGGGAATTACTAAGTGAAGGCATTTTGCATTCACGACGTAGAGAGCTGAATTTACCCGAGTTGAATTTGTCGGAGGATGAAATTAAGGAGTTGTGCCTTATTCATATTGACAAATTGATGGAGAGATTTTCGAAGTCATTAGCAGATTTCCCTGGGTTGCCTGTTCCCGATCAGTGTTTGCGTTCACATACGGTAAACAGGCTGATAGATATGGAGATGAATTATGGACCCGATGACTTAGACTGTTCTGAGGATCGACATAGTAGACCGTTGAATGGAGAACAACAAATCGCTTACGATATGGTATTACATTCTATTTATACCAATGAGGGTAAATGTTTTTTTGTGGATGGATTTGGGGGTACTGGTAAGACATTTCTGTGGCGAGCAATTTGTGAGCAATTAAGATTTGAGAAGAGGATAGTATTATGTGTTGCTTCATCTGGTATTGCTGCACTGCTCATGGTCGGTGGAAGAACTGCACACTCAAGATTTCACATTCCCCTGGATTGTGATACAAAATCAACTTGCAATATTGAGCAAGGTTCTGAGGTAGCTGAATTGATTCTCAATGCTTCGCTTATTATATGGGATGAGGCACCGATGGCTCATAAACACAACATAGAGGCCCTAGATAGGACATTGAGGGATATTTTCCGAGTTAAGCATGTTGATTCTGAGTTGAAGCCTTTTGGAGGTATGACTATTGTGTTTGGAGGTGATTTCCGACAGACGTTACCTATCATCACGAAGGGTACACGGACTGAAATTGTTAATTCTTCCATAAAGAGATCTTATTTGTGGCGGTCTATGACAGTATTGAAGCTAACCGAGAACATGCGATTAAAATTGCCTCATTCTGAAGCATCGGCCAGGTTAGCAATCTCAAATTTTAGCAAATGGCTTTTGGAAATTGGTGATGGTACAAATAGTAATATTTTTGGAGAATCAATTATCCCGATACCTCTACACATTTGTGTTCCCCGTCGCAGTGATCCAATTCCTGATATTGTTGCTGAAATATATGGTCAGTTACTCTCCACTGAAAATATGTCAACCTATTTGGTTGAGCGAGCTATCTTAGCCCCTCATAATGACACTGTTGCGCCATTAACAATTATGTATTGGGTCTATTTCCTGGTGAAGAAGTTTCTTATTTTAGTTCGGATTCGCTAGAGATTGATGCCAAGAATCAGCATGTTGAAGAAGGGGACTCCACAGTTGAATTCTTGAACTCTTTAAAGATTGGGAATTTTCCGGAACATGAGTTGAAATTGAAGTTGGGGTGCCCTGTTATTCTGCTTCGAAATCTGGATCAGAGTACTGGGCTTTGCAATGGAACTCGGATGATCGTTAAGAGATTAGGTAAGTGGTTTATTGAGGTCCAAATTTTGACCGGGACACATGTTGGTGATACAGTTTTCTTACCACGCCTAAGTCTATCGGTCCACTACAAGAGCTTAAATTTCACTCTGGTTCGAAGGCAATATCCAATTGCGCTGTCATATGCAATGACAATTAACAAGAGTCAAGGTCAAACATTAAATCACGTTGGCATCTGCTTGCAAAGACAAATATTTTCTCATGGACAGTTGTATGTTGCTATGTCTCGAGTTACGTCGGAAAGGGGACTCAAGATTCTTAGCTGTGACTCTCAAGGTAAACCGGTGAAGACTATGCAGAACATTGTGTTCACTGAGATTTTTGAGTAGTGGTTTATTGATGTATTATGTTTTATTCGATTTGAGGACTAAGACTGTCAAATTTATCGGGTCGTTACAATTTGAATCTTGAGTTCTCAATTTGTTCAAATTATTTTCCTGTTTTTAACAGCCAATTATATGAAATGTGATTTATGCGCACTACTTTATATTTAATTGTACCTCAATTTACTCTACCGAAGGGTATGCGAGTGTGACCGTTATATTGCAATACGAAGAAGAACTTTCATAGTCGCAACTGAACTAAACTAAATTAACACCACAACCCAGCCCACAAAACAACCCAAGCATGGTTCAGTTAAATAAAATATAGTTAGAGAGGGAATGCCCAGCCGGATTTGTTGAAACTAAATGGCCAACCTATTCCCATAAAAAAAAGCCAACCTACACTACCTTGGGCGGATCCTTCTCCACTCCCCCACTCCCCCACCTCCTCTACTGCCCAGTATCCGATTTTTTTGGATCTTCTATGAGGTGAAGGCTGCCGCATTCCAAACCATTATTTCTTTATTAAATACATTCATTATGATTTTCATTTCATGTTAATTAGTGGTGGTGTGGGCCGGGCCGGCCGGGTTGGCGCATCAAATAATAATTAGCAACTTTGAGAGGCAATTTTGGACAAGAATTGTTGACACAGTCGCAATTAGCAATGTTGTTAAAATGGAACCGGACATCGATCCGGATTAGTAAAGGGTTCAAGGTTTATCAAATAACCGGTGGTTAATCGATATTAAAAACCGATCATAAACCGGTGTTGACTTACTTGGTAGACTTAACAATTATTTTTTTTACAATTATTGTTTCACTCTTTAGAGATAAAAGAATAAAGTGAGAATTATTAAAACTGAAAAAGCATAATTTGGGCGACTGTTAGGTCTTTTTTGGGAAAAGTGAACTGATTTTTCTTCTCTTTATATTTTATTCTGTACTTACCTTCTTTTGTTTTTGAATTTTTATTTGCAACAAAATAAAAGGAAGGCGCATGTTTGATTTTAAGAAGGTGGGTCGTTCCCCTCAAAAAAAAAAAAAAGGTGGGTCGTGAGTTCCGTGACACACCCGCCTCTTGAACTCTAAATGGCCAACCTTCTCCACTCCCCCACGAGGCCACAAATCCTTCTCCACTCCCCCACTATCCCACTTTCCACACACACACGTACTCCACTGCATGCGGCCAAGTAAATCACGTGTGTAGAATCACTTTCTCTCCTTTATATAATGGAGATACCACTTTCTCTCATGTTACAATTTCCGTTTACTACTTCCCATACAAAACACTTCGGTTCCATTGACCGTGCGAATTGCATTCAATATGGCGGGCCTACCTCAATTCAATCAGTAAGTACTGCTCATGCATCCAACAAATACTACATCATGTAATTTCGATTCTTTTTCACTACTTAATGCCAAAACTTACAGTCCAATATATAGGCTTCCCCATGGTTTTATTGCTAATCTGCAATATGATGATGCTCTTGAAATTAGTGAGCGTGCCGACACCATCGATCTCATTATGTTGCAAGTGGATGTCGAAAATCAGGTAACTAAACAAATAAATTTCTTTTTAATCGTACGACTTTTGTGGCATGCTGCATTTTATCGATTTGCTTTGACAATATTCGTTTCTGTGTTTACATCATGGCACCTCTTTTTTGTTATCCGGACGTGTAACGAATTTGACGACGTCCTGGTCCCCTGCATCCAAAATCCATTTCGTCCACCTCACAATTGAGAACGAATTCATTGGTGTTGACATCGTCTTCCCGTCATCACAGTTACGAACGATTGTTGAATCTGTATTCAGTCATGCAGATGTTGTCAATGCTGACTATATGGCCCTTCTGAACATGCTTGGAGAACAGACATTTGAAGTTATGGTCACAGTCGGTCCCTGGAACGATGCATTTGGTTATTGTGAACTTGTGTTGGTGAAATTATTTTTGCCTTTGTTGAATTGAGTACCATGTCATGAACAATGAGACAATGTATTGAGTTTTCTTATTTTGGACTTGCATGTTATTTGTCGTAATACTCAACTAGATTAGATTTGTGATTAGTAAAAATTCATGTAAGTATTTTTATTGTGATTAGCTAATCTTCAAATGTATTTCTAACTTATTATGAATGTTCATTCATATTACATGTTCGTCTTCAACGAATTGCAAAATTGCAACAATCTTATGATAATATAAAACAAGACTCATTTCTCGACACTATCATTATAGATATTGTAACTCCATTTCCTTAAACAAATGCGGCCAACGGGCCGGGCTATAGGCTAGTAATATAAATAATTGACAGCCTCTTTCGGCTTTCCCCTCTCTGAATCCGCCACTCCAAATCTTTTTCCCCTCTTCGATTCCACTACTCCGGCGAATTTAGCCAAACCTTCTTGCCGACTTCCTGAACTGAATCGTCGCCACCTCTTGATGAAGAAACCATCCTTGTTCGACTCCCTATGAAGAAGTCGTCGGATGCAGAGGAGGAAGAAAAGCCTTGCCCTCTGGTGTTTTCAATCCCTAAGAACCCTAAGAAAGAAGAAGACTAGAAGAGGAAGAAGGGGAAGAGTAAGGACTTGTCAATTCTTCGTCAATTCCTTCGGCGACAAAAATTTCTTCGCCGAAATTCTTCAACGTGTTTCAATTCATCTCGTCGATGTCGTCGGGATTCGACCTGTCAAGTCTATTCGAGAGCACTCGACGGCGGCGGGGGTCGATGTTCACTTCAAGGTGCTCGGCGGTGGCGATTATGGAGCGGATGGAAGGGTTTGCAAAGGGGATTAACTTTAGGGTTGGGAGGGTAAAGGATTTCAAGATGAGCTTGACGAGGGGACCAGAAGGGTGGAAAGGGAGGCTCCAGCTCAGCGAACCACATCTGAGCTTGATGGAAGCACAGATTCCCTATGCTACACGGAGAGCTGACCACCAGTTGCCGCTGGAGGAAGAGCTACCGACGACGGTGGATCTGAACGTAGAATCTGGCTTGGGATTGAAGGGGTGGGTTAATCCAGCTTGGGATTGAAGAAGAGAACGAATAATCGAGGAAGAGAACGAATAATCGAGGAAGAGAACGATTAATTGTGTCCAAAAAAATAATCCACAAATCATATCTGTTTTTTGTTTTTTATTTTTGTAATTTTTAAAATTTTTTATATGAAAAATAATTATAAAATAATATTATAAATTCCACTTCAGATGCCACATCAGCGCTTACTGGATTTTCTGTTAAAAACTAACGGTCAACGCGGTCAACTCTAACGGAGAAATAGTTTAGGACACAATTGTCATATCGGATACTTTAGGACACAAATGGCACAAAGTTAATAGTTCGGGTTTCCTAGTGGTATTAGCCCTAAAAATAATTATTTTTTAAAAAATCCAACTACCATTTTCACATACCCAACAAGAATTACCCGTAAATATATATACATATATATATATATATATATAGATAGGTAGATAAACTCTAGACACCGATTTTCTAAACTCCAACCCGAAGTTTGATTTAATGAAAAACAAAAATTGATCGTTGAGATTGGCCGAAGCTCATCTAAGTACATCTAACCGTTAGATCACATGTTGTATACTATATGTCTGACGTACACCAGTCATTACTATATATATATATATCACCATAAAAAATAAAAAAAATCAAATCCCAACAATCAACCAAAGCAACGCAATGGTTAACTAACCCACTGCAAAGCGCGGTACGAGCCTAGTTAGCACTTAGCAGTTAAAGTTGAAGCTATATTCTATGTTAAACTAAAGCCAACAAATATACTAAGATTAAGATCGATAAGCATATTTATCGCAGAAGTAAAGAGCCTGCCGGGTTTCTTTTGTTTTCACTTCCTATAACTGTAACCAGCTTCAACTGGACGATTCATCATTAATCAATTCATTAACTCCAATTCAAACTGAAAGCACATGCAAATTAAAGCCCTGGACGTACCTAAAGCCACAGTTCAACATCATCTCCAGCCTAAAAAATTTTCCTTTTCTAATCATAACCTCCTTTGCTTTGGACATCTTATTTTGTGAGTTTGTTTGTCTGAGTTCTATGTGAGCACTGATAAATCCCTCGCCAATTGTGGAACTGTGTACAAAGGTGGGGAAGTGAAAATATTTTCAGGAGGCTGAGTAAATGAGGATTGGAATCTCCAAATCGTTCACAACCAACTGTGTTGTCATTTTGGTGGACGAATTTCGTGATTTTCTTATGCATACATTTCTATTTAAAACAACTATTTGTCCTACAATTACAACACCTTCGTTTATTGTTGAATTTTCTACTACATTGTTGAATTTTGTGGTATGCAAAAAGACACCACTTGACCAATTTTCTGGCTTCACTACTAATTAGTTGATCACTTGACCTTCATAAATAATAACAAACAACTTTTGGGGTGGAAATTACACTCATAAACATTTCGAAGTTTTGCAAGCATGTATGTATACAATGGCGGAGTTAATTATGATTCGGAACTACGGATGCCCCCTTTTCAAAATATAAATATATTATAAATTAATTTTATGTTTGTATAAAAACAAGAAATGAGTTATAGTACAGTGGTTGAATACTCTTACCGGCCGTCTCAACGTGGTGAGTTTAATCTTTTTTTTTTAGATAAGGATTATATAGGTTACTTTTTTATTATTAGGTACTACTGAAAGGACTCGAACCTGAGACCTCCAGGTTCATGGCTAGTGGGATAGTTCGAGATTTGGGAGTTGGGTAGCAAATTTACTGGTGCAGTGAATATGCAGTACTGTGGCCAAAAAGGAAGTACACCAGTGAGGGGATTTCTCAATCATCATTTGATTCTGGAAAACGAAATTGAAGGTAGCTAGCTAGCAGCATATAATGATGCACGAGAAAAGCGAATTATCATGAATTTCCTTTCAGCTGGTAATAATGAATTGTGAACGCCTTTTAATCAAATGTGTTACCCTTCAGACACAAAGTGATGTCATGAGCTTTGCAAGCTAGAAAAAGAAAGACGAGTTTGAAATGAAAACCCCCGCTTTCCAAGCACCCTAAAACCAGCAAGATCTGTTTTAAATAATAAGGACTTTGCATGGACTGCAAATCAGCCAAAACTCTCGTTCGGTTCGAGAAAAACTCGTTTGACGCTCTGCTTATTTACTAACGAGTCGAGATTGAGCTAAATCTTATTCGGCTAGCAAGACTCTTGAATCAGCTCGACTCAATGGCTTGTTGAGCTCAAGTCATGAGCTAGCTCGTCTTGAGATATGAGCTGGCTCGATAGTATATGTAGCGAGCCACCTCAGCTATCAACCTGTGAGCGAATCGGTCAATAATTTATAATTGACTTGTTGATAATTCATATGTTTGTTAGATTATATATCTCACTACATATGAAGTCTAAAAATTTGAGCATGTAATCAAATATGTATAATTTATAATTCAAAAGAGAAATTATGTATCACAGATTGCTCATGTTCTAGTTACTATTAAATAGCATGATATGAGCAATTAAGAATTATAAGCTAAATGATATGATATCGTAGCTCGAGCGGAGCTTAATTAGAACTCGTGAGCTCATTAATGAGTCAAGTTGAAGTCAACCACAAACAAAAAATTTAGTCGAACTCAAGCTTGACTCGTTAAAGTTAGACCAAAACTCTTATTGAGTCAGCTCATTTACAGCCCTATTAATTAGCGCATATGATGGGTGCACGTTTTCTGACCGTCTAGGTCATTAAACTAATTTTGGTCATTATTATTATTGTTAATTTAGGATTTTTTTTTGGTTAATTAGGATTATTATTTCTTGTTAAGGAAGTTATTGTTTAAGAGTTGGCCTAGGATTAGTTTACCTTGTTCGGGAGGAAAAGGGTTTGTAGGATTATTCCTATAAATATGTACTTTGTCTCTACGTTTTAATCAGTAAAAGAAGAATAAACTAGTATTTTCAGTTTCTTTTAATTTTAGTTCGTACGATCACGCGATGGACGAACCAATCGTCCATCAGCATATGTCCGTAATTACCTGCTATCAAAGAATACTCAGTAAATCAATAAGAATGAATGATTCAATCTTACAACTTCCAGTAACTTCAAAAACAATCGCCAAAATGGAATTTCACAAGTTAAACTCGAACATATATAGTATCATATCAACTCTAATGTCTCATCGTATTAAGTATGATTCGCAAGAACCCATATTATCATTCTTGGCCCTGTTCTGTCCTTTTCTTTTCTACCTTTGTTATATGTATTTTTTTTAATGTCTATATTTTATCTAAATCTTTTTCAGATTCTTTTATTATATCCAAACCTATTGAAATATTAAGAATTAACTAAATTTTAACTTTCAGATAACAATTTTGTTAGTAATATTGACTTGGCAACATGATACTGATTTGGAAGAGACACATGAAGGTTAACATTCCAAAATTTTAGTATTTTAACTAAGAAAATAGTTACAAAATTATTAACGATAACTTAAAGATGACTGATATTTTATGTGTTTCGAAAGATTTGGCTAATTAATAGCATTTTAATAGGTTTGGTTAATATAAAAAAAAAATTTCGATAAAAAATACACATTATTAACCATAAAAAAATAGACATTATTCTTTTTTTTTTTCCTTTTGTAACAAACAAGACAAAGTTAAAGCCCCTCCGAAGAGCAGAGACCCACCCAAAAAAGGAGGCAGGAGGGATGAAATTTTGTAGTGTTTGGCATCTATAAAAGACATGGGAGGCAAAAAGTTTCCTAGATCCACTTACGTTGCCCTTTCGCAGAGTTCAAGAGAAGTGGTGGGGGGAGATGGAGAGTTATAATTAAGGTGGTAAAGGGCAACGTAACAAATCACCTCTCTTTTCCCTAACCGTCGCTCTCCAAATTCTCCCTTTCCGATCCTTTCTTTGATCCCTCTTCTCTTTTGATCCCTTTCTCTTTTCCTTTCAGTCAGAAATCCCCTGCTTTTTTTCTCGCCTGAAAGTAAGGGAAATCGGCTCCATAGATCTAATAACCAGAGTTTTGGCTCACAAGATGAATTCCGCTGGAGGGAAAAAAGAAGAAGAAGAAAAACACGCTATGCCATTCCTCTAGAGAGTATTGAAATTCAGACAAGGAGCTATTACTGTTACGAAAAAGAAAAGTTGCCGGGCGGCTACCTACAATAATTAAGGTGGGTGATGTATGTAAGTGATAAAAATTTAACAAATTATAACTCAAGTTATTGGGTTAAGTGGTTTGTTTGTTAACCTAATTATTGGGAGATGTTCAATTATGGATCATATACCACTTATTAAAATATTTTTTCAAATGAAAGACACAAGATATGGGCTTGAAGTTTGCACAGGTCCTAATATCATGTGCTTAATAGAAAAGTTGGAGAGGTCATCGGGATTCGAACTGAAGACTTCTTGATACAGAAGTCTTTGATATATAATGACATAAATCAACTTTTCTATATAACTCGAGTTGTTGACAAATAACTTGTTAAATTTATATCTCTTGCACACCCGTCCAACGAAAGTCACCATATATATAGGCTAGAAATTGTGAGTGTGGATGTGGTTGTTTTGTGAATAAGATTCCGATCATCGATCTGAAAGTGATGAGTGAGTAGATCCAAAGAAGAAAGCGAGTTCAAATATATGGCTAGAGACAGTGTTAAAGTAAGAGTACTACGTACATAATTTTCAATGGCTGCTGATCATGTGCCTGCTATTTCAGTTTTTACTGTTCATGACAAAAAGAGAAAGCTAGCTAGCCAGCCTAGAGTCACGTAACAAAAAAGAAAGGTATATATGTAGGGGTACCACTGATAATCACAACTTATCTTTTCATATACATACGTATTTGGAGGCTGTGATGAAGTCAGAAATCTAAATGATAGAAGATATGATTTAAATTGTCGTAATTGTTAGAGGAGGAGAATTAAAGCATTACCAACTACTATAATTTCTAGATTTTTTAAATTGTACATGTAATTTTATCTATATTTAATAATTGAGAGAAATTACAATCCCTGCTAACTTCAACCTAACTCCACCATTATTTGGTTGTCTGTAACATGTAAGTTTTGTAGGTTTGGTCAAAAGAAGCAAAGGGAGAAGAGAAAAGAAGAGAAAGCAGCAGCAGCATATATACACGCGAATAAAATGGATTCACGATGGCGAGCTAGCTGCTGCTGCTGCTGCTTTTGATGATTGACTGGTCGCTTTCCCGAGACATTATCGCCACGTTCATCTTCTCGATGGGTGCTTGTCCTATGAGCAACCCACATATATATTTACTCCGAGGGCGGGCGGGCTGGCTGGCTGGTTAGCTAGGGTTTGGTTTATGTGAATGATGATTATGAATCTCTACGTTAACATTATGATGAGGACCACACCACCCATGGCCATGAATGATGATTATGAATCTCTTTCTCATCTTTTTTGTGGTTGGACCGATGCGTCCACATGCATGCAGAGAGCGTTTCCCAAATCCGCTTTAAATTTTGATGATTGGGATAAATATGTGCAGAGATGGTGGCGGTGGTCCAAATTTATTGAATCGATGTTCGGCTGACTCTGTCTTCGGTGGAGCTTCATTTAGTAAACGATATCTACGATTCCCAACGACTCAAATTATTGAGACAATACCCGTTCTTGACATAGTATCAAAACTTTATGTGTGATCGAGAGATTTTCTGTTAGAATCTCGATAATTCATATTTATTCGGTTAATCACCTGTGCAAACTAAAACTAATCCTACAGATCCAGTCAGCAGTGTTATTGTTTATGGGCCTCTTCTTTTCAGTTGCACATTTTAAGAGGGGCCTTTTTGCATACATCGAATCCACATGGTTTAGATATCTGTTCAGGGCTTCAGGATGGAAATTTCTTTCTGAAAGCTAAAATGACCGTTTTCGTGGCCAATGGGCTAGAGATGATAGGTGTGGATAATGGCACTGTAAATACAACACGATGCCCGGGCCCGTTAGCAACTTGAAAAGTCCGGACCAGTCAAGCTATGAGTCCTAACTCCTAAGGCCATGATAAAACTGGCCGTAGATCAACTGAGCCCACTCAAATGTTGAGCACCGAAACCAATTGGGGGCCCAAGTTAGAAGGATACGGCCCGGTAGTGAATCCATGGAAGCGATGTTGCATATAAGAAAACGTGGAGTGGAGTGGAGGCCGGAGGGGCATGGGATAAGGCTGAGATAGCAAGCTGAGCTAAAGCCAGCAAGTTAAAGGGCGGGAGTTCATTTCATAAAATAGGGACATGTACCTACTGACTCTAAATAAATGATTAAGACCCTTTACTTTCCCCTCCCACGGGCCCTACCTAGCTTAATCTTCCTAGCTAGCCCTAAACCAAAATTCCAAACAAGAGAAAACAGAAAGATCGCTCTACGTTCACATATGACTATGAGATATACATGTAATAGGTTCGGTCAACCAAATTGTTTTGGTTGGATTCTGGTTTCTGGATTTGCTTAATTTCTTTCCAACAAATATGATTACCTTTTATCTTGTGGGAATTTAATGTTAATTTTTATGAGATGTCGAGTTTAAATTCATTTTAAATTAATGATAAAAAGGAGAAGAATATCATTTCTTTAGTATATGATTGTTGTAGATTTTTGTTTCTCACTTCTCGTACTCTTGAAATCTATCGTCAATTATCTTGGTTCTAGCTTTTCAAATAAAAACTATATCAGTTTAACTAGGTATCCTAATTGATTGCTTCCCCGCTTCCCAAAATCAATCCGTCATGCGTTTCCCTTGTATGATTCGAGTTTGAAGTCCTAATCTTTTCTTTTAGGAATGAGGTCCTAATCATAGTGCCTAATTATCAATGCCGTTTTGGATTTGGAGCAACATTGACTTCACTTAATTGCGATTTATTAATGATGACGAAATTTCCTTTTCTTTCCCAACACAGCTCCTTATATCATAATCATATTACTTCCACGACTAAATCTTCATTTGGGGTTTGAAAATATCTAATTATGTAAACTGTGCTCAAACCAGAGCTACAGCCTACTTACTGTAAGCCCAAAATTGCCATCAGCCCAAGTCAAAATAAAGCAATTAATAAGTCCAGCAGCACAGCGACTGACATCAGTCCACTTTGCAACCTCCACGTCACCACTCTAATTTCTTTTCTCTTTCTCTCCCAGTCTCTCTCTCACCTGCCCCCTTTCTCCATCATTATTTTCCACTTCGTCCCTTCCTCTCCAATTTCCTTTCCCCCCTTTCCAACACCCTCAATTCAACTCCTTCCTCCAAAATTCCGCCGGCAAATCATGTGACATCATCATATCACGGCCGCCGCTCTTCTCACCCTTTCCACAAGCCATGAATTTCGTAAACAAGCTCGGTTTGGTGCTTACCGTCGTCTTCGTGATCTCCCTCGTCTTCCTCTCCCTCCAGATCCTCTACCTCCTCTGGCGGAAGAGGCGCTTCCAGCAGACTGCCGGCCCCGCCGAGTTCGGCAGCAGCGGAGGAGGAGACCACCACCACCACGACCAGGCGTCGGCTCTGTCGCCGTCCAAGGAGCTGCTCTACTTCTTCTGCTGGAAGAATTACCAGGCCAGCCGAATCGAACCGGCCGACGCCGCCGTCTCCGTCTCCGTCGGGGTGGTCCCGGCAGCAGCATCGGCCCCGACTGAGGAAGACGAGGAGCTGGAGGAGATGCTGAAGCTTCACCAACTGTACGGCGCGTCGAGGGCTCTGTTCACGATCAAGGAAGAAACAGAGAGGGAGGAGATCGAGAACGACAGCGCGGCTTCTCTGCCGCAAAACGCCGTCGTTACAGGAGAGACGATGAAGAAGACGACCGATGTTGGACAACGAAAAGAAACGACGGATGTTTTGACGGTGACGGCGCGGGAAGTGGTGGTGGTGATTGACTTTGACGGCGAGAGCGACGACGACGATGATGATGAAGCGACGCTGTTTAGGACGCCGTGCGGTTCCCCGCCTTACTACACGCCGTCGCCTTCACCTCCTCGCGATCAGGACAGGCAAGACCCAGAGGCCCGTCTTATTACTGTCAAAATAGCCGGCCGTTAGTTTGTTTGTTCGTCGATTATTGTTCATATTCTTAACGGTAGTTCCCCCCTTCCGCCGGTTCGTCACCGGCCGGCCAGGGTTAAAGCCACGTAGCAGCTTTCCCTTTTCTTTTTTTCACTTTCACTTTCACTTTCACTTTTTTTGTTTATTAATTTGAAAACTTATTTATTTATTTATCAACTTTTGAAATGGGGGTGTAAATTTGGATTTGACGGGCTTTTAATAAACCGCAATCTGCCCGATCTAGTTCCCAGTAAGTAGGCCCGGCCCAGTGCTCGATCGTTGCCACGTAAGCGACGGTGGGAACCGTCGGATTTACTGCGGTGGGGAAAGAGAGGTCGTATTTTAAATTTCGGAGGCGGTGGGTGACAGCCGGCAGCGACAGTAATAATGGTGTGGGAGCAGTAAAAGAGGGAGGCAAAGAGGCGGTGGGAGTAAATAATTAATTTTGTGACCGTTGGTGTTATTAATTGAATAACGTTTGGACGCAAATTAAATTTACCCTTTTTCCAGATTCCAAGCTATGATTGAGATTTGAGAAGCCGCGCAGTAAATGTAGTAATACACAGATTTTGCAAATAGGGCTGGATTCTGGGAAGTGGCTGAGAGAAATTGAGAAGCAGATTTGATTCGTTCTGGTCTCGTGTTGTTGCTGGGTTGTGTGAAAAGTGTGATTGAGGGGGAAAGGGACTTGCACTTGAGATAAGAATAAGACCAACTCAACGTGTCTTACCGGTTCGGAGATGCTATTTAACTCATTCATTTGTTCATGGATGACCAAGTTCATAAGATGTTATTTAGGTTGGGTTGGTTTTGACGATAAATTAAATTGATGTATTGTGAATTATACATGTATAATAGACAGTATACATGTAATTAAGAATTTTGGTCTATTGCAATTTCTATAGTTTGAGTTTGAGTTTTGGTAGTATATGAAATGATTATATAACTGTTTAGTAAAATATTACTTTTTATCTTTTGTTCTTAATATAAAATAGTAACACTTTCAAAAAGTTAAGAGTATAGTTGAAACATAATTATACACAACAATCTCACCTAAAATATCTCAACAATCTCATTTGAAATGTGAGATTTAACTATCGCCCATTTTTTTTAGTGATAGTTTGTGTCGCATCAAGCAATGTTTGTATTGTTTGTACAAAAAAGGTAAAATAAAAAATGATTCATTGTAAACAATACAAGAATTGTGACAATCTCAATCAAACTATTTCCAGAATCAAACGACCTCAATTGTCAATGAACCACTATTATGCTGTGGGAATTGTTTTTATGAAATACCTATTGAAATTTGAAATTTCGGTGAACAATACAAATATTGTAACTATTTTAACTCTTGTATTGGTTTGATCAACCCTCGATATGGGGCATTATGGTATTTACAAAAATTGACCTAGAGCTCCTAAAATTTATGTTTTTACTTATAGGCAGTATTAGTTCAAGGGAATTGACCTAACTGGGGCGTGATCGAGTTGGGGATTTTAGCATTATATAAGGAGTAGACTACACTACATAGAGTATAGACTCCGAATCCGTTGACTTAAAGAGTAAAACTGGACATGTGTGGAAGAAAATAAAGAATAAAAAACTTCGATTGTCGAAACACATTTCCAGGAAATACAACCGGTTGGCGTAATTATGTCTGCTTAGGGTTTGTTTAAATTATCTAACAATTGAATTAAGAAACCAACTTGCCCTCTGGCGTCTAAACGTTGGCTTAAAACTTTACTTTAAAGAAATTCGCAACTATGGTTTGGCTAGAACTCTAATTTAACAAGTTCGCCGCGCGTTTCTATTCCTGCATTTTATTTTCCAGCAAAAGAAATCAAGACATGAATCATGTATGTGATGTTAGATACTGTTCAAAAAATATAAATATGAAAAACACATTATGAGTATAACATGGACAACCTCTGGTTGAAGTAAGTTGCGTGGTCCTGGGAGTTTGGGAACTGAAGATGAAGATGATGGTTGGTTTTGGAGTTTGGTGACAGATAAGAGGGTGCATTGTTAAACCGCTAATCACATTAAAATTGTTCGGTTTGTGGTTAACTGCAAATCGAATAAGAAGGCTATGTTGGGATTTTTAGTGGTGTGAATGGAAATGAAAGGGGAAAGTTCCAAAAGAGTATCTTGAAGTACCATGTTGGTAAGATGTGGGAAGGCACGGCCTCAAATTCGATCGATTTGATGTAATATGTGGTTAATCGGTTAAATTGGTTTGTGTACCAAACGGACCAAACCAAATCGAGTTGAACCAAATCGAACCGAACCGATGTGGCTGTTGGAATAGCCATACCGGTCCAACTACCATGGGCCGAACCGATGCAATGGTTCATTATTTCAAACATGAACCAATGTGTTGGTTGGGGTGTAACCACTCATATGAAGAGTCGCCTCCTTTCATACGCACCCATTCATTTTCTATAAATAGCACCTAACCCCCTTTGGTTTTTATTGAGATTTTTTCTCGGTACCAAAATTCTGTCAAAATCCAAAACTAGTATTCTTCATTCTTTTTCAAAGAGAAAATCGAGTCAAGTGTGGTTCTCGCCGGTTCGCTGCGTTCGATGGGTTCCGGGGTTTGAGGTACCGCTACGCCGGAAAAGGTACGTCCTTCCTATCCTGGGAGGAATCATTCCATAACCTTGGGTACTTGAGGGGAATAAGATTCTTTAAGGAGAGATAGAGAATTCTATCGGCTAGGACGCTTGCATATGTCTTTGCATGTTTTCTTAATCTTATGTGTTTGCTTGTGTTGCAAGAAAATAGTATACGTGAACAATTTCCCCAACAATCTCAAAAAATCTTTTTTCATCACGTATACGAATTGGTTGTGAAATCGTGCATGTATATAGTTTGGTTTTGTCTCCGATCTGGTACAATATATGCTCACGGTGTATACATATATTGTTGAAACTGGCATATAAGGATATATGTTTCAAGTAATTTTCTTGATCAAGTTGTTGCTTGGTTTAAACAATTTTTAATCAAAAGTGTTCATACATGCGTGGAATGAATATGTGTGTATATATATATTGATGCTGCATATACTTGAAGTTGAGTCTCGGTTACTACATGCAACTTTGCATTTGATGGTTCTCTTTTCGTGTAACTGCCATTAGTGAACTTGGTATCGAGTCATCCATTGTGCAATGATAATTAATTAGTCAAATTGCTTTGGTTAAATAAACTGTGCGAGCATGATAATTATTAATTAGCCAAGTTGCTTGGATGGCTTTGTGAATGTATATGCTTATATAGTTATATATATTGTCGGTTCCATGAGTCATCGAATCCAAAGAAATATATGTTCGTTTATTTTCTTGATTGGTTCACGGAGCGGCAAAGCGGCAAGAGTGGCATCCCGCGGTTATCGAAGATAGAATGAATGCATTGGATGCATCTGCTTAAGGCATATATTGAGAAGAACTCAGTTCTTGTACTATGCGAACTGCTGGTGTTCAAATGCATAAGGATCGGTACTGGTAGAAGGAGGGGAAAATGTACTGGTTTGCTCCGAAAGGAAAAGAAGCATTCTGACTTTAATTAGAAACCGGTAACACTCTGTTCCTTCTTGTGGATTTGAGAATTGGTGTTATATATATTCATCTGCCATTGGAAAGGAAAGCAAAAATATATACACTAGCATGGATGGATAAAGGACAATAAAGGGCCACGTCCCTTTCTTTTGATAACTTAATTATGAAGCAGTTGGAAACTTGTAATTGGATATGTCTCAGGCATGAAAGAGCAAATTGTTTCTCACCATGCAAACGTCAATTGAAACATTATCTTGTTACAGTGAGGAAGTGCCTCGTGCACTATAAATATATGTCACCGAATGGTGTGCAGTATAACAAATACTTGTAGTATTTGGAACGTGACCAAACTCATAATTCATATTATGCGAAGAGTTTGAGAAAATTCAACTTATTTGAATTTGAAAGAATTCATGTTGAATTTTTTGGAACAAGTTTTTAAATACTTTGGTTTATGTAATCAAAGTTGTTTGTGTTCTTGGAATGAATTATAATAATATGGTGGGCAAGCGTTCTCGAGATATGGAGTTTGATCCATGACGATGTACTTATGTAAATTGTGTTTTTACATAATGATAAATACAAGGTTCATATTTCCTAAATGGAAAATTGTTTGGATAAAGCCATTACGAGCTTGTTTGGTTCCAAGGTCAACCACCAAGTAAAGTGCATTCATCGCATTGGTCCAATTTGTTTATGATGCATGGATGAATGATAAGTGTGCCACATCATTTTTTGGAACACTTTTTCATTCAAAGTGATGCATGAGAGGATAGAAGAACTTATGATAGCTCTTCATGGACTATAAGTAAAGGTGGTTTATGGATAATAGTAAACTATCTAGTGAGAAAAATATTAACAACCATAGGTGTGTAAAACCTCTAGCGCGAGGTTAGTAGGGACTTGTGATTCAAGTCTATCTAAGCCGGATTGGTTGCACACATTATGTTCATAGTATGTTGGACATAGTTGGAAAGAGTATACCTCCAATGTGTTGGAGATGAAGTTTGGTTGATGCACGTTTAAAGGTTTGCATTACAAGTATGTGGTTTAGGAAAAGGTTTAAATTCCTAAGTTGCTTGTGATGACATAATAATTTGTTTATTATGTATGTGGTTTAGGACTTGATGTTTCCTATGCCACGAGGGCAAGAAAAATGAAGCTATGATTGATCCTTATAGGGATTTAATAAGCTTGCCAAATGATGGTCGTCATCAAGATAAGCATTAGTTCAGAATTGTTTATGGTATAAGTACACTATACCATTGGAAAACAATTTGATTATAACTATCGACGTGGAGATAGTTGCCAGAACTGTTTATGGTATATATAGATATATATCATTGGAAAACAATTTGGCATGAGAGCTCAATTGAGATGATCTTATTGAACTTAAAGTCTGAATTACTTGTGGTATATCATGTTACACAAATGAAATGTCATTGATAAGTAATTAGATGGGATTTCCATTACTGGAATGCATCTGAATTACTTATGACGTCTCAAGTTGCCTTGATCAATACCATTGGTAAGTAATTAGATGATATTTCTAATAAAATCTGAATTGTTTGTGGTATGCTAATCGAGTGAGATCATACCAGTGGTAAACAATTAGATACACATAGTAGTTGGCAAGTTCAATAAGTAAAACCATGGAAAATAAATGGGATTATTCCATGATGTTTGGCCAAGGGTAGAATTGTGGGGGAGAAGAGCTAGCAATTGTTTCGACTACTATCTCAAGCCCCTACAATGGGACGCAAACCTATCCATAAGACAAAAGTGGAAAGGTAAACGAAGTCATACTTGAAAGTATGAAGGTGTCCAATGAGAAAGGGAGAGTCCTTAAACCTTGTGGCGTTAACCTAGTCCAAGGGTATAACTTATGAGTAAACTCTAGCATATATTGACGTTATGTCAAAGAGCTAGAATATTTATTAATGTTGATCCACTCTTCCCAAAGAGATGATTTTGACCATATACATGTATGCATATGAACAACATTCCCCAAACCGGAAACGTTGGTTTCAACAACTATGGCGAAATAGTTGAAATGTGGGGGATAAATTGGGGAGAAGTGATGTGGAATGTCGCTTGGGTGATTCCAAAGTGAAGTGATGTGAATACTTAGGAGTTTTACGTAAACCCTAAGTTAAGTCATAGATGTCACTACATTTGAAGAGATACTTGTGAAACTCAAGTACTCTAAGGTTAATGAAGTAGAAAGACTTCAACACCGTTGGCATGTGTTTTGATTATTGCAAGGCAATAAATTCAAGGCAAACACATAAGATGTGTAGTGAATTGAAAAGAGACGAGTCTTTGGTGAATTTTACCCAAAGGAACTCACTGGGTGAACCAAAAGCCATAGTCCATTAATGGATAGGCATTTATGGTTAACGAGGAGCAGTAACTTGGAAAACGTCCAAGTTAAACTCTAAGACCGGTGAAGTTGAATTGAATGGCCCGCAAAGACTGGCATTAATAAAACGCATTTGTGCACAAAATCGTTATTGCAAGGGCTAGAAGTGTTATGTGAAAATCTCGTCGTAGAAACATAACATTATTGATTGGTTAATTTCTAGCGAAGTTATCGGAGATGATCAGTTTAGATCAAGTGATAACAAACATGGGGCCCATCTAGAAATTAATTTAAGCATCGAAGGGAATGGACTCGTGGCCTAGGACAAATCATCATGGCGGTAACTCTACCTAAGCAGGATTGGCAGACCCAACCTCTAGGTTCACGGAGAAAACAAAGTTGTGAATGATGGTCCGACATTGTCAAATTATTCAAAGTCCATTCTCATGATGAGACAATGTCCAACTATAAGGGTAAACCTAAAGATGAAAGGTTTTTAATGGCTTCTAAGTTTGACACAAGATGTGATCAAATAGTGTATTTTTTGGAATACACTTTTAGAAATCACCTATGTGAGTGTGAAGTGGAGCCGCTTCAAGGAGAATAAAAGAAGGTCAGTTCTCTAAGCACTCATGAGACCAGGCTGTGTTCATGGCTAAAACGAACACAACAATGAGAACCAGTGAACGGATAAGAGTTAGTTGTGTGACATATGTTGTCTTAGTATACAAGCAAAACCGACGGTTCAAAGATATCACATCTACCAATTGGTGAGTATACTCGATATATGTTCACTAAGGAAGGTTCAAAGGGAAACCTACCTATTCCGATGCAACTAATTCTTAGTCGAGAATCACACGATTTTTTGCATAGTTTTAAAGTGCAACATTCTCCATTCATGTGGGGGATTGTTGGGATTTTTAGTGGTGTGAATGGAAATGAAAGGGGAAAGTTCCAAGAGAGTATCTTGAAGTACCATGTTGGTAAGATGTGGGAAGGCACGGCCTCGAATTCGATCGATTTGATGTAATATGTGGTTAATCGGTTAAATTGGTTTGTGTACCAAACGGACCAAACCAAACCGAGTTGAACCAAATCAAACTAAACCGATGTGGCTGTTGGAATAACCAAACCGGTCCAACTACCATGGGCCGAACCGATGCAATGGTTCATTATTTCAAACATGAACCAATGTGTTGGTTGGGGTGTAACCACTCATATGAAGAGTCGCCTCCCTTCGTACGCACCCCTTCATTTTCTATAAATAGCACCTAAAACCCTTTGGTTTTTATAGAGATTTTTCTCGGTACCAAAGTTCTGTCAAAATCCAAAACTAGTATTCTTCATTCTTTTTCAAAGAGAAAATCGAGTCAAGTGTGGTTCTCGCCGGTTCGCTCCGTTCGATGGGTTCCAGGGTTTGAGGTACCGCTACGCCGGAAAAGGTACGTCCTTTCTATCCTGGGAGGAATCATTCCATAACCTTGGGTACTTGAGGGGAATAAGATTCTTTAAGGAGAGATAGAGAATTCTATCGGCTAGGACGCTTGCATATGTCTTTGCATGTTTTCTTAATCTTATGTGTTTGCTTGTGTTGCAAGAAAATAGTATACGTGAACAATTTCCCCAACAGGCTCTTGCCCAGTTGTGGCTAGTTATATTGGTTCTCTTATGGTAAGTGATTTAAACCGTAATTGAATAAAAATGAACCGTGCGGTTTTGGATTAGCCACAAACCAAATAAAAAACTTCGAAGGTCCTTCCAGTTCCCTACATGTTGTCATCTTCGAAATTCGCTCTTCAAAAAGCATGGGGTCCTCCCTAGACACCATCAGCCACACAGAACACACACCGTCTCCGCAATCGTCGGCTGTAGCACACCAGCATCTTCAAGCTGACACCTTGTTACGGCGTCGCGTCTAACAGTTTACGATGTGATCGCGGTTGGCATATATGGCTACATTTCGGTTGCGTTTAACTGTAAATTTTAGTGCGGTAAACTGCAATTGCACTGATTGCCTGCCGTAGTGAAAGATTGGGATTAGCATTTTACAGAGGGAGAAAGAAGAAGTGGAGACAGGATGGTGGCAATAGTGTCGGAGGGAAAATAAGATGACAGAAAAGCGGGATGTATTTTTTCTTTTAAGTTGTCGATTAAAATAAGGGAGTGGAGATAGAAGACCCTACGAAATTAAGATCTTTCGTCAATCTACTATAGTACTATTTGATTCGAACGACCCACAACTTATATTAGGAGAAGAAGGGGCGGTATGATAATTCTTATCAATATTTTTTTTTTCTTTTGTAATGAAGTGGTTAAGTACCATACATGGGCCTGTATAAGATCTAGCATAACCTTCTCCCAACAACTCGAGTTATTGGGACTAACTGGTTTATGACATGCTATCAACGATTGTTTGTTCGTGAGGTCATGTGTTCGAGTCCTCACGACCCCCAATATTAACCGTTATCTTTTGCTGTCATTTTTTTTACAAAAGATAATCTTATATTGATTCCAAAAATATATAGTTACATAATGGAATTCAGCCAGGTCTGGAAATCAAAGAAATGACTCATAGTCGGGTACAAAGAGAGGACTTTACGAGCCACCGTATGGGCTACCCTATTACTACTCCGACCTACAAATCGAACACTAAACCCAGTATAGCTGTTAAAATATTGCAGAAGTTCCTCCAGAACAGCTCCGACTCGGTTATCTCTGGTATCCGTTTGATTGATTTTATCAATAATAACCTTGGCATCACCTTCAAACTTCACTTCCGAGAGGCCGAGCGCCAAGCACCACAAAAGAGCCTCACGGAGGACAATCAATTCCACCACCACTAGGTCATCCATGCAAGGAAATTGAACCCCTTTCACCAGCCAAACATCCCTCGTAGGAGTCAAAAGAACCATCCCACCAGCCGAGTGCGATCACCTCCGAACTGCCCCATCCCACATACACACAACCCTATCCTCCCCAGCAAGATCTAGGTGGTTCGCCCCAGCAGGCACCACTGCAGGGGGAGCTGTCATTGGGACTTTATCCACTGGCAGCCGGACCCTCTCCTCGTATTGCTGTTGAAACTAACGCATCAAAGCAGGGAACCCAAACTGCTTGCCTTCAAAGACAACCCAATTCCGCGAACGTCATATCCGCCAAAGGACAGCAACCACAACCATAAATAGAGCAGGCTGGTGGATCAAAGCAGTTAATCTTTTCAGGAACAAAGGGAATGTATGACGAGGGAGCCCCTCCCCTAGGTACGCCAGACCAGAATAATCCCAAAGGGCACAAGCAACCGTGCATTCTAAAAAGAAATGTTCCATCGTCCTGCACTCGCCCAACAAACAGGACATCTGGGAAGCACCGGAACCCGTTTTTCAATAAGGGCCTCCGTGGTAGGCAAGATGCGATTGAGGATCTGCCAGACAAAGAATTTAAGCTTCGGAGGGATGTTAGCGTCCCACAAGCGAACCCAGGAGGCCTTATCCATCCACCCAACCGTGGACCGCCAACCACCCCTTCTCTTTAGCAGCCCACGACAAGGTCCTCTGTTTCCACCCCTGGAGACGTTCTAGCAGCTTCTCCTCCAAGTACCTGAACGTGGCCAACTTAGACCGAGCAATAAGCGTTGGCAAACCCAAATACTTATCGTGGACCCCTACCGCCCCAACTCCCAGCAGCGAGGCCAAGAACTCCTCGTCCGCACGGATAATATTCTTACTAAAACAAACGGCCGTCTTAGCCAAGTTCACCTGTTGGCCACTCAATTCCTCATACTCGTTCAGGACCTCAATCAAATTTTCACACTCCCGGAGAGTACCTCGCAGGAATAAATACGAATCAACCTCAAAAAATAGGTGCAAGATCCAGGGCGCACGAGGAGCCACTTTAACCCCCTCCAACATCTTGTCCGAAATAGCTTTGCGAATGAGCGTCGCAAAGCCCTCCGTGCAAAGCACGAACAGGAGAGGTGAAAGAGGATCCCCTTGTCGTAGCCCCCTGGAAGGAGTGAAATATCCTGAAGGAGTCCCATTCATAAGAACAGAAAAAGATGAGGATCGGAGACACTCCCGAATCCAACCTTGCCAAATAGAGTTAAAGCCCGTCCTATCCAAAGGAGAAACGGCCATTCGACTCTATCATAGGCCTTTTCCATGTCAACCTTTAGAGCCATGTACCCTTTCTTACCCCGCGTTTTGATTTTCAGATAATGCATTAACTCATGTCCCAGAAGAATATTCTCAACAATTTGACGTTCACGGATGAACGTGTTTTGATTTTCAAATCTATGAGGCAAGACGCTCCGCCATGATCTTAGTAATAATTTTATGAACGAACTGGCATAAGCTGATTGGCCGCAGCTGCCTCATATATTCCACATTATCGACCTTGGGTATCAACGTGAGCCACGTGTGATTGAAACTACGGAGCATTTGACTAGTAGCAAAGAAAGAACACACTGCCGTAGTTGACGAATCACCCACAATATCCCAGAATGCCTTAAAAAATTTACCAGTGAAACCATCTGACCCAGGAGCCTGCTTTGATCCCATAGCAAACACCATTTTTCGCACCTCGGAGGGGAGAACTTCAGCCGTAAGGCTGGCATTCATCTCTGGGGTAACACTACGAGCAATAGGCAAAGACGCCACTCGCTCAGCCATATTATCCACCTGATTCTCCGTTGTGAAAAGGTGTTGGTAGAAGGAAGTAGCAATACCAGCTTTACCCGACTCATCGGTAATCCACTCCCCATTCACATTCCGAAGGTCGGCCACAAAGTTTCTTTTACGATGAGTCCTAGTCACTGTATGAAAGTAGGACGTGTTTTTATCCCCTTTTTCAACCAGTCGACCCTGGACTTCTGCTACCAATAAATTTCCTCCGCCTCCCACTGCCGATTCAACTCAACCTCTAGCCCTCGGACCATATCCCAGTCAATAGGACAAACCAGTTTAACCCTATCAATTTCGCTCTGCAGGGTACGAATATTTCGCAGGGAGTTCGTAGTCCCCGCTCTACACCAGTCATACAGAAGATGACGAAGTTTCTTAAGGCGTTCCTAAAGGCAGAACCTAGGGGTTCCCTGGATATCCTCCTTCCAGACATAGGTAACCATAGCCCTCACTTCCGGGTTATCCGCCCAGCGGGCATCAAATCGGAAGAGAGGCCGGCTATTCCGCATATAAGGCTTATCCGACAGGAGGAGGGCTCTATGCTAAGAACCTTGATCCGTAAAGTGTTTAACCAAGGTTTCGGCGAACCGATCAATCCATAACTGGGAGCACAGGGCTCTATCCAACCGTTCACGAATGCAAGCACTACCCATTCTCTTGTTCGCCCAAGTGAAAAGGTCACCTTGGTAACCAGGATCATGGAGACCCAAGTCATGAATAAATTCGCGCAAACTGGTCAAGTTATTAGCATTCCAAGGATTGCCACCATCTTTTTCACTCGCACTAAGGATAGTATTAAAGTCGCCAATAACTACATAGGGGAGATGGAAAGCGGAACAGATTTCCTGGAGATGAGCCAATTGGGCGGCTCTAGTTGAAGCAGAACAACTAATATAAACACAAACCACAATATAAGAAAAGTCCACTTCATTAATTTGGGAACAAATACAGAAGTTGGAAGAATAAAAGACCGAAGTATTAACCTTCGGAGACCACGTAAACTATAAAACACCAGACGCATCAATCACATCAACAAAAAAAAACACCGAGAAATATCAAAACCTAGACCCCGCATACGACGGTAGACAACACGCCGGCTAGATCGCGTTTCAGAGAAAAACACGAGCTCCGGTTTATTCGAATGGACCAAACCCACACCCGTTTGGAATGTGAGGGAAGGCCCAATGCCTTTCACATTCCATGCAAGTAGCCTCATTTATCTGGTTGAGGCCACTCCAGGCTGGCTTCCTCCACCTTCTCATGATCATCCGTGATTTCCACAAACTGTTTCTTTAGTGTTGGCAGGACACCCACCTCCCCCTCAATGACCTCCAAGGGTCGCTTATGAAATCCAGTAGGCGGGTTGAGCATATTGGATCTGTATTCAAGCATCCCAACATCCAACCCGGCAAGGCTGCTACTCCCAGTATGGCAGTATCAGCTACAACGCCTATGCCTCCAACCATGGACGGCTCCACCACCTCATCAGCAATAGTAATATCCACCTCGAACGTTGCCACCACTTGGCTAACCCGACCATTGGAGGGATGGAAAGTCTTTTAGGATGCAGCCGACGGGATTCTCTTTTTGATCACAAAGCGCTGGGGTTCATCCCCATACAATGGGCCCTCCGATCCAATATCTGCCAATTTAGGCGTCCCCATGTCATCCTTCAAGATAGAGGGGTAGGAGTTTCCAGGATCACTCATCGCCAGAGCACCGCTAGCATGGTTCGCTAATTGCACCCCTACCCGCGGAGAGGCCCAAGCACTTGCGAATTATCCGCCATAGGGTATTTAGCTTTTCTCAATTTCCGATTGCCATGCGAGGCCGCTGGCTGGGAGCTCACCAGGCCCTCAACTGCAGCCGACTCAGCTAGGGGAGCAGCTTCCTCGACCGCCTTGTTCAGCGACTGAGCTTTCGCGCGTCGAGGCTTCCTCTTCGCCGGTTTATCAACCTCCGCCGCCTTAGGAATAATAAGATTTGCAGGATCCACCGAGGATCCCTCCTTCCTGGGCAACGACGCATGAGCAACCTTCTTCTGAGGCGCATCCACCATATCATCATCAGAGTCCTCTTCGAGGATAAGTCGACGCCGCCGCGACTCCTCTTGGATCATGGCGGACTGGTCACCGCTCGGATTCAGAGCCGAGCCCTTCCGCACTATTGAAAGTTGCTGAGGATGGGCCACCGCATCGACGTCAGGGGGATCAACTATAGCCTCAGCCTTCTTGCTCCCCAGGTGCTTCTGCCGACCATTCCCAAGTCTGAGTTTGGGCTGGCGGTTAAGGACAAAACCCCTCGAGCTGCCGCGACGATTTGGTGACCGTCCTAACCCTTTCACCTGGTGCGAGATCGGTTTCTCTAGGGTCACAGACCCCATTGAAGCATGCGAGGGAGCAGCCTGATCCATCCTCACCGAGGTTTGGGTGTTACTCCGAGCCCCCATACTTAATTCCCCTCTTCCCGCCGCCGTAGTGTTACGATTTTGGCAATTTATCCAAACCGATCGCCTAGAACCCCCAAAGAGAAGGGCATCACCATCTTCCTCATAGACTTTCCTTCCCAATTTTTTAGTTGTCATATGCGGGCCGAACCGCTCTTTACCATTTGGTGGATCAAAGACACAGTCACGGCGCGCATGGCCAACTCGGCCGCAATGGATGCAAAAACTCGGCAGGAATTCATATTTGAGGCTCACCCAGAAGTTATCGACTTCCTCACTGAACGCCATTAACTCTGATCAGAGAGGCTGTGAGAAGTCAATAATAGTATTAACTTTTATAAACCGCTCACCGGATTCCTTGCAAGCAAAGATTCCTGACTCCAAAACTTGCCCAATCACCGCAACTACAATTTTCTGCCCAAAAAGTTTGGTACAACAATCCTCCTTCACTCTCCATAGCTGGATCCGAAATGGGGCTTTAGACATCTCCTCAAAGGTTCCTTTTGAGATGACAGGAGACCAGGGACGAAGGATGAGCAGCCGATCCTTAATGATCCACGGGTTCTGAAAGAGTGCCCACTTCTTAGCTTCCTCGTTAGGCAGGACGATCTCAAAGAGCCCAAGCTTAGTTCTCAAGACTTTAAGCTGACCACGGATATTCCAGGCATCCAGCAATCCATCACGCAATTCCATAGTGGTGATTTGATCATTAGTGAATAAACTACCCAGGAGGGATCGAGAAGCTCTGTACCGGGTCGATTGCACCTCCTCAAGGGAGAACTGAACCACTTGATCTTTTGTTACGTGGGCCATCGTACACAGCACCTGACAACAAGATAAAGAACTCGTATTAAAATCAGGTGGAGCACACCCTAGCGTCTTGTCCGTCAAGGGAATGGGACGAGGTTGCTTCACAGGTGATTGGTTAGATGGCGCAGCGAGAAAGGAAGGGGAGGTGATCGATCACATAAGAGATCCCATATACCTGAGCAGCTCCCAAACGAAGGCAAGAGGGAAGGAGCTCCAATTGCAACAAGTTTTCCTGGGCACCGAAGCTGATGATTAGCTAGTCTGAGTAGTCCAGGTGATGAGGGTATAAATAAAGGCCCTATACCCCGATTAAACCCGAGTCGCAGAGACGCGGTTAGTTTCAGAGTTTGAGAGCGAATGGGATTAGGATTCCCACTAGGATGAGGAACCCGACATGAATTATCACGTTGGTTCGGGATACACCGGTAACAGCCTAACATAACCGAGAAAACAGGGGGGAGCAATCCCGAACTGATCTCTAAAACACGGTTAGTCCCCAAATCACGGGATCGCGAGGATACGATCCACGTGGTCATGCAAGGGGGCTCACCGGCAGACCTGCCGTCAGTATCCACCGGATGATAACGTCTTGGCCGTTGAACTACCAGTGAGCGAACTTCCGTCGCTTCCACGACAAAATCTCAATCACCCTGGCCGATCTAAACGCCAGCTCTCCCCATAGGGCTGCTAACAACATTAATAAACTCGTCGGTCTTGGATAACAGCGATTGATCGCCTACCAGATCCGACGTTGATGGGAGCCAAAATCTCCATTCGTGTAATCGAACAATTCTGCATTTTTTCGCAGGGCTAGTCTTTGATAAATAAGTTTCACTCGAGGGATTGAGATCCTCGCGTAACAGTGCTCGTTTTCGTTTACAGAGCACCCTTTTAGGGCAACAACCCTCTCGATGAGGGCATCGATTAAACATAGGTTTTCTGCTATTCATCCATCGCGTGTCGCGGTTCGTCTCGCTTCCATGACCGGTCTCGTCAAACAGAAAATCCCCAGCATGTCTGCACCGATCGCCTTTCTGGTTCTTCAAGCTGAGCAGAAAGAGGGATGAGAGGATCTCCAGCAGCCATCCACCAAGCCAGCACGGCCATTCGAGGAGAGAGGAGAGAGCACCTCTCATTTTTTTTTAGTTCGCTGTTTTTCGTATTGGCCTCCTCTATCTTTTGCTGTCAATGATTGTAGAGGAGAGCGAAGAATTTTTTTTTTAAACCCCTACTTTTATAATTCTCTATTTTCCTTAATCGGATCATATATTAATCATATTATAGCAAAATTTTAAAAAATAATTAGACAAAATACAACTAAATAGTCATAACTTTGTACTTTGTAGCAATAATAGCCAACTTATGAAAAAATACACTAAAAAGTTTAGGAAAAATTGAAAATTCTGTCATTTGACACATTTCCCCATTATCTCTCTAGACTTTCTATCTAGCTTACTATACCTTTACCTATATACTATAGGTTAATATGAGCATTAGGGATCAGATCATTGTCTTCCCCATCTCCACAGACCTTAAAGGTTTTGGCCGCATCCGGGTGGATTATACAAACCAAAACGGCAAAACCCGGATTAGACTCCGCATATCATTGTTCTCTTTCTAGTCTACACTTTCCTCTAGGAAATTGAACTTCAATATTGGACTAAATGGAGTCAATCGACCATCAATAACAGAGACAATGATAAAACGGCAAAATAAGAGTGATACATTTACTTTATTTCATTAAAATTTGTTTCTGATTATTATAGTGCTCTCAAGTGACAAATTGAATAACTATACATGAAGTAGGTAATACCAAATAGTGATAAATTTGGGACGTTATTGGCTATATCCCAAACATCGGTATCAAACTTCTAGCCCTAGCAATTAGAGATGGCTATGGGTTGGATTTGGGTTTCATTAAGAAAATATGATAAAATACTCATTGATTTTAGAAGTGAAAACCCAAACCAAACGGGTACCCATGGATACGAATATAACCATACAGTATTTCTTTGAACACCCATTTCTTATTGTTCTATGAAAATTCATACAAATATATCTCAATAAATACTACCAACATCCATAAAATCCATATTATTAGGCCTTTTATTTCCATAAAGGCTAATAACATATAAACATTCATAAATGATTCATATGGTGGAAATCGCGTTGGGTTTTGACAAAACTCAAACCCAACCCGCCAATTTCAAAAGCGGGTGAACCCCGTACCCGACGCATAACCCATCAACATAGATTTTACCTATTTTAACTTGGTTGGATACCCCGTGGCCCGTGGGTACTTGTTTAATTGTCATCCATAGTGGTACGTAGTTGTGTTGGAGGAGAAAGATGGGGAAGTGGGATGACCTTTTTGTTGAGAAATGTTAAATTTTGCATATTACTTTGTAAATAAGTCAATCACCTATGTATCTAGGGTTGGTCCTAACAAATTTATAAATATGCAACGCGCATATCCTGTAACTTTAGACATGAATAATAAGAGTTTGCTCGGAAGAGTCTTATTTCATTCGTGACTAGTTATTCTTGACAATCATATAAATCACCTTAAGTGCCTTTTGTTCCTTAGTTTAGATTGTTATTTTGATATTTTTCTTTTAAACTGAATTGAACCATAAGCTCATGTTGTATACAACTTTTGTTTTATGGAAAAGTAACATACGTAATATATATATCTAGTTGTAAATGGCGGCCATCCCAGCATGTACACATTATTCGCTTACCTGTTCTCATGAACACAATTAGGCCCTGGATTACGCGGTTTCTAGTTGTTGTTATTGCCTTGATTCTCCTTTTGATTCTAGCTCGAAAGTGCATGCCGCTGGCGCCTGGGTAGCTAGCTTGCTCACGGCTTCATGCTTTAAGAGGGCTCCACTTGATTTTATTAAAATTTATTTAATGATTACGACACTGCCCACTCTTAAGTGACAAGTTGAACAAATACACATTCGGGCTGTGCAATGGTCCATACCGAACCATGTCGGACCAAAATCGAAGTTTGGAATCCGACCAAATCAAATTGAGCATAATGTGGTCTGGTCATTAGTCCACATGAATTTTATAATTGTTGAAGAAATGATGGATCGAATTGATATTTGGACCGAACCTAACCAGACCAAATGGACTGAATGTAATGTTGGTCCAGACCTTGATCTGAAGATGTATTTCACTAATGAACCGCAATTCTCATGAGGTTGGTTCGGTTCGGACCGGGCCGACCCGTTGCACACGCTCTACGGCCGTACTACACATTAAGTAGGTTGTTTCTTTTCATTTATGTCTTCAGATGACTATATGTTCACTTGGTTGTCGTGCTTAAAGGCTCACGCCCGTTAAACCGGTTGTTTGTCGTGCGATTAACGCTCTCTGAAAGAATTAGAAGAGAAAGAAGGCAAGCCCATATAGCAATTACTTGTGAATGGGCTCCACAGGTACTGTCTGGTCTTCCTACGCATGAGCCCATCTGCAATGATGGGCTGTACCTCTAAGCAGCCCAAAGTGAAAATAAATGTTAATATTTTCGTCGGATCATTATTTTTAAGAGTCAAGAAAAGAAAACGGGACACAATGGGTCAAAGGAAGTCACCACTAAAAACACAATTGAACAAAGAAGAGTAAACTAATGGTTAATCCAAATTGCAACAACAATATTAGCAATCTCAGTCCAAAAGGCAAAAACATATAGAAACGAGGCAGCACCACAATTATAACTATAATATATGTATTCAACGGAAAAAAATAATAATAATATATGCAATCGCTGCCTACAGTACTCGGTCCACCCGCTCCCGCCATCATTGATAGGATCGGCGGGGAGTTGTAATGAATCCGGAAAGAAGGACAACCGTGTTTTCCAATGGACGGACGAGACGACATCGTTGTGAATTTAGGGATGGCAATGGGTCGGGTCGGGTCGGGGACGGATAGTGCATATCTGTTACCCTACCCAATGTAGTTCGGGTTTACCCATACCCGTACTCACACGAGAAACGGGTAGAAAATCAAAACCATGTCCATACCCATTCGAGTTTCGGGTATCTGTTAGTGTTGTGGTATATGATCTACGATTGAACATTTCCCAACAACTCGAGTTATTGGGACTAACTGGTTCTTGACATGGTATCAGAGCCTTCTGTGACCGAGATGTCTTGTGTTCGATTCCCGGTGATCCCCATTTGTTAAGCACATGGTATTCTTGTCTTCAGACCTGTGCAAACTTCAAACCCTTGTGAGTGGCTTTCGTTTGAGGGGGTGTGTTAGTGTTGTGGTATATGATCTACGATTGAACATTTCCCAACAACTCGAGTTATTGGGACCAACTGGTTCTTGACAGTATCCACGGTTATCCATGGGTAATAATTTCTCCTTATAATTCCAACCAATATGTTAACATTCACATGTATATTCACATTACGTAAGAGGAAAAGTACGACAATAATTCACTAGAATGACGAAAATTAATTAAAACAACATAATTTCATGAAAATATTATATTTATATGCTAAATATAAAATATTTTTGGGAAAAATAATATATGATTATTTCTAGACAAAATACATATGCATGTGTATAATCGGGCGGGTTCGGGTTGGATAGTGATATAACCATGCCCACCCATTACCCGCAATATTCGGGTTCGGGTTTTACCCGTAACCACGAAAAATGCTTTGGGTTCGAGTTTTACCCTACCCGATTAGGTTGGATTCGAGTGGATATCCACGGTTACGGATATTTTTGCCATCCTAGTTGTGATTTGTGGCTGGAACTTCCGATGAACAAAACGACAGCAGATTGCAGCGGTCGATAATACTTAGAGACGCGACCCTAGCCTAGCGCAAGGTAACATAGCTTCCTAGGTACGGAACTACCGTTTGGCTTTTTCTATTCACAGTTTATTTAATTTACCCCTTTTGCGCCCCCTATAAACTATCTCTGAATTAAGAATTAATATTTAATTTACCACGGTAAAGTCCAAAATAATATATGCCTTCGGCTTCAAGGGCGCATGTCATGTATCATTATCAGATCTTTCAGTTGCCCTAGTTATGTTCATGCGGTGGGCTTTCTCTCTTGTAACTTGTAAGTAGACTGTAATTGATTATGCTTTTCATAGAAAGAATATTTTGGCTAACTGGAAGATAATAAGTTGGGTTCCAGAAGAGTGGTGGAGCTAGAAATTTAGTCAATGGGTGTTTCCCTTCGTACCATTAAAATCAACTAAGTAATAGAAAGTTGTCTCTAAAAAAATCAATAATATAATATTCAAGGTTCGTACGTATAATTACAAAATATTTGTTCGGCGCACACAATTTAAACGAATCGCGATGAGATTTCATATTTTATTGTATAATGCATTCTTTGTCCAAACTTGTTCAATATATGTCACCAAAGCAACATTTAACCGTTTATTGTTAATTCGATTTCTAAGATCGCTATTTCTTGAATGAAAATTATCTGTCCACACTTGTTGCAACGACATAGTAAGTGTGAACTTGAGAAGCAAATCAAGAGTCAAATAGATAGATACATTTTTTGTTGATTTCTTTTCACCATTTTTTTTTCTAACTCATCGGCCCCTTATATAAGGCATTGGACCGGTTATCCAATGGTAGATAAATTTTTTTATTTATTCCACTTATCATCAATAAATTTCATAAGATTTATTATTATCATTTTTAATTCTAAGATGGATAGATGTTTTAAATAAAAGTGTATGCATAATGAAATCATAAATCTATCCAATGCAGATGGTGCGTCAACTTGTTGTGTATTGGTCGAGTTGAGCATTCGAATTTACAATTACACAATCTCCTTTAAAAAATTTCATCCCTACCTGAAGGGGTGCAAACACCCCCAACATTGTACACCGCTCAGCCATTGTTCTTAGAGTACTCCAACTTTATCATAGATGATTTAATAACAAATGTTAATAACCACAAAATAAGTAAAATATACATGTGAGCATGATCAATCTTTGGCTATCTTAATAGATGAACTATACAATGCGTTAGATGCATCTAGCATAATCTCCCAATCGATTGTTCGAATAGGAGATTTGAATCCAAATCTCATATATGCATCATTTTGTTAAAAAGTATGGATAAAGAAATTGATGAAAAATGTGAGATGTAGTTTAAAATTCCCAACAATGCAGAAATTCGTCATATATATGCATCATTTGCCCCAAAATAATGTGAAAATTGATATTCAGGTTCAATCACACACAAAGTGTAATGTGGAAACTGAAAAACTCACACCATCAAGTACATTTAAATTCCCCCAATCCCAATTGCTTACGCCATAAAATTTGTCTTGTACCACATTTGTGAATTGCAAGATAATGGATGAGTTTATAAGGCCACATTAATCATTATAATTAATGTTGTTTAAGTTGGACCTTATTGATGTTGATTTTAAGCCCAAGCCACTAATTCATAAAATAGCATGGGCGTGATTCAACAAGGGACATGAGCCTCTCGTAAGAGGTCATGCCGTGTCACGAGATGGCACAAAAATATTCTAATTCCGGAGAGGCATGTGTCGCTTCAACCAGAAGGGCCATGTCCATTTAGAATTTAGAAGCACATGTCACCTCAAGGAAGGCCCGAGTATGGTCAAAAATATTTTAAGTCTCGAGAAGGACATGCCACTTCACGAAGAGGCCATGTCGCCTCACGACCAAGACCGAATGAGTGAAAAATAAACTAAGTCTGGAAAAGGTACATGCCGCTTCAAGGAGAAGCACATGTCGCTTCAACAAGGAGAGCCTAGACACGATTGAAAAATGCTAAGTATGAGAAGGTCATGTCGTGTCATGAGAAGGACCACAAACATGACTTAGAAGTCCATGGCCGTCTGGCAAGAGGACCACGACCCCCTTCTGTGAGACACCACATGCTTATCAAAAGAATGGCATGGCACGAGATTTTGAACAAGACGAGGCGAGGCAAGCTACAAGACCCACGACGGTTCCAAGAGAGGCTCCTAGACGGTTGAAGTAGTAACCACCACTCTGAGGAAGCAGGGAGCGGTTCTTTTTGGGAGTTATCCAAGATGTGGGTTTCTACTGAAGAAGGGGGAGCGGTTCTTGGTAACGGTTATCCATCAAGCGGTTTTCTACGACGGTTTACCTTATCGTGGCTATAATTAGGAGGAAGGGTCGACAGAGAGGGAGAGGTTTCACAACCAACCATTTGACACCCAATGTCAAACTTTATCATTTTCTCTGCAATGTAGCCTTAGTCGTAGTTGGAGGTCTCGCTGAACCTCCATAAGAGTAGAAGTAACTTAATTTGATCTTTCAATCCTTTCACCATCAATCAAACACACTCGTTCGAACTTTGTTTGAAGAGGTTTTAGCCGTATATTAGTAATCGTTGTCCAAATAAGTCAAATGTGTAATCAATCTCAACTCAACGCAGAGTTTTTCTAGCCAGAAAACACCAATTATACCCAAATCACATATTTGTCAATTGTTTCACCCAAACAAACTCTGTCAATGTATCATACAGTGACCAATGCGTATTGTAGGCCCATTGAGAGAACTAATAATAGTATGAGCATGTAGAGCAAAAAAAAAAAAAAGAGATTTAGCATTAAATTTATTAGAGTTGCTCTCAGAAAATATCATGGCGATGGATACCAACGTCTTAGCGCGGGTAGCTGTTTGACGACCAGCCAGATATTGGATGGAGATTCATAATCTGGATTTCATGATCAGTTCTACAGACTATAGAGATTGAGACTTCACTGACCTGGTCGGAGGCGAAACCCAAAACTTATTGACCTTAATAATAACGTACGTGTATATGATTGACTACACCACCACTAATTGCATGCTTTATGTGTGGGTGGGTTGCTGGCGCTGGGTTAATTGAGCCATCAAAATTCAAACCATAGACCACGCGATTAATTAGTGTCTCCCTTAATTAATTTAATACAATATCGCCTAATTTCCTATTTCGCAATTAACGATAAGAAAAAATGAAAGATGCACGCAGTAGGAGACGACAGTTGCGTCGTCCCCACGGAATTCCATCGGCTAATCAGAAGCAACCTGCAGTCGCTTTCTAGTTTCTCCTCCTTTCGAATCCACGTCGGACCCCGCCTCCGCATCCACGTCCCCTCCTTTTAAATCATCCTTCCACCGAATCGCTACCTATCTTTGCCCCAATCCCTAATTATTCCCCAAACAACTTTTCAAAATTCATAAATCCAGAACTAGCGAACAATGTCACAGCAGCACAGCTGCTAGCTCCGATGGAATTCGCCGTCATCGCCACCGTACTGGTGGCGTTCTTCGTCGCCTACCTCGCATTCCTCTTCGTCCAGTTCGTCTACGTCGTCATCCGCCGCAAGGCCCTCGTCCACCGCCGCACCTCTCCCGACGACGTCCCTCTACCCCTCCCTCTCCCAGCCGCCAAGTCCCCCGCCACCGCCGCCGCCGCAGGGTCTATTTCTCCGACGCAAATCAAGCACTTCCTCCGCAGCGCGTGGAAGAACAAAACCTCCTCTCTCTCCTCCAAGGCGCTCAAGGCCGCCGAAGCTGCCGCCGCCGCCACGACGGCGAACCCGCCCTCTCCTCCTTCCGCCGTGGTCGTGCAGGCCGCTCCGCCGCCCACCGACGAGGAGGTGGAGGAGATGCTGATGGGGAGCAGGATGCGGGGCCCGCCCAGATTCCTGTTCACCATCAAGGAGGAGGACAGGGAAGGCAGCGCCGCCGATTCCGGCTCATTCGAGGACAACTGCGGCGGCGGATCGTCGTCGGTGCGGATCAACAAGGAGTTCACCGGACACGCGCCTTACTACGGCGATCACCACTGTAATTCCGACGAGGAGGTCTCGTCGCCGGTGATCGGCGTCGTGGTGGAGCTCAACCAACTGACGGCGCCGTTCGGTACGGCGCCTTGTTCGAGATTGCACGCGGCGGAAGAAGCAGACGGCGGAAGCGGCGGCGTCGTGCTTCCCCGGATCTTACTGGCGCCGTAAGTTTAATTTGTTCATAGTTTGCCGAAGTGGCCGGCGCGCGTTCTACGTGTCTGGCTGCTATAGGGGGTAGGAATTTAGGTTGGCTGAAAAGACTGGTCAGCGCGCGCCACGTCAGCGTCTTGGATGCCACGTGGCGACATCGGGACGGATGTGTCGTGTTGCAAGTTAGGATGGTAGTGGGATGTAGGCGATCTTTTTTATGCGTTTCTTCTTTTTCCTCGTAATAATAGCCGCGGCCGCGTCCCCGGCGAAACGACGCGAGCTGCCTGGCTGTCCTCCTCCTCCTCGTCCTCGGCGGTAACGTAGAATTTCGTGTATTCGTGTATAGTGATGGAAGCTTTTGTCGAGGGAGAAAGAAACACTAATATGGGCTTCTAGTTTGGGCCTATTCCCTTGGGTGCCTATGTGCTCAGGCCCAGAAGGAGGTGGGCGTTTCTTGTATAGGTGCTTGTTTTATTATATAGGCCTGGGTGAATTTCGTTCGGCCCAGAACGAGGTGATGAAACATTGAAGCGTCGTAAGCTTTAAAACCAAATCCACCATCCTTGGGCCTTGGCCCGATCGTCCAAAGCATGCTAATCCTGTTAGTCTGTTACGAATCTCCGCCATCGCCATCTGACTTCTCGTTTTAATTAATTTTTTTTTTGTTGTCGTCATAACCACCCTTGCCAATGGATCAAATAATAGCGTGGGGTACCACAATAGTTCAAGACCCGCGCTGACCGAAGAACAGGTTAACAAACAAGAAAGAAAAATCATAAAGCACACTGTGAAGACTAGGATAGTGAATGACATGATGTGCCACAACCTGATTTGCTTCTCGTCTCGAGAAGCGTACACAAAATAAACCCTAGGTAAATTTCCTAACAAAGAGTAAGACTTGCGTAAAAGAGCACTAACCTGAGCTCATGAATCGAGCGAGTCTCCATCTGACGCAACACTCCTTGTCGTTTTCAAATTGCTGATGAGGGTGCGACATTTCTTATTTCAGTTATTTTGCATCCAGCAACATTAGCCCCCTTCGAATGGCTTCTTCCACCCCCAACGGCAGGGATCTGGCATCTCCTCCCTCCCTGCCAAGGGTGAAACTGGGCTGGAAAGTTAGGGTTTTTTTTAGGATCACGGCCGTACCCAGTCCTTCTGGGCCGAATATGTTGTCTGTTTCTCTGTTTTGATCCTTTAAAACTCGTTCGGGTTGGGCCGGCCGAGTCAAGGGCTAGCTTGTAGATGCGTCGGAAGCCCACACCTGGAACAAATTGTGTTGCCTGCCTAGGATCTGCTGCTGCTAATAGTATGTAGCTATTATTAGCTCAATTGTATTTGCAAACTCACAAATTTTATTGAAATGAGAAATTTTAACATAAGTACGTGTGATTCAGCCACAGCCCACAAACTCGGTTCGCACATCTCTAACCATTACCCTACAACCCTAAGTGGCCAATCCTCCATGCGAGCCCTGCTGTGTCGGCCCATTCTTGTTCACCATCGAGCTTGGCCAATTTCAGTGCTATATATATATATATATTTTTTTTTTTGCCATAGATATCCTTAAAAGGAGAACCGTAGATACGAGGAAAATCGTAGATACGAAGTATATAATAATATACATGACCTTTGCATGTCAAATCACAAATGAAAAATGAAATAAACCTTTGCAGGTCTGACAATATAGGGCTTTACTGCCACGATATGAGCAGCCCTATGATACCTGAACGACATGGGTAATATCATGATTTCTTTCTTTAAAGGATCAAAATCATGAACTAACCATGCTAAAAATTGAAGCAGGAAAGCAAATCCTTGTATCAAGAAGACATTCCAGTGCTATTATCTTTTCCATTATTAGACATCATAGTGTCGAATAACAATTATTAATGGAATTCGTATAATTATTCGTATAATTCACCTACGTGCTCCTCGTGTATAATATATGTTCGTACGAGTTAGTTATATGTTGATGTACTTAGATAAATTAGAGCCATTGGTTAATATTTCTGACAATAATGATCTTATGACTTGGATTTAGAGAATTAGAGATTGACGAGATTATTAAATAATATTATACCCCAAACTTCAAATAATTCATGATTTAAATAATAATATAATACTTACCAGGTGTACGTCAGATGTTAGAAGTTAGGAGTACCTAACTGTAATTAACCAGTTAGGGTTCATACTCGGCCGAATATATATTGGTTGCATGGGCGAGTTTTATATGTATAGTGTACGTGAATAATAAATCAAGAACTCTGCCTTGTGTCGTGGAATAGTATCAATGATTAACGTCGTTGAGGAAACCACGTAATCGTGCGTCTTGCGTTCATATTTTTTGTGTTTAATCGGGATTTTGACATGGTATCAGAGCATGTAGCTCTCTCTCCAAGCTTTCATTCGTGTTTCGGTTGCTTTCTGCAGATTCAGGTCGTGCCCTAATTCCCGTACTTCTGTGTCTTGATCTTGCTTTCGTGATTTTGTGCGTTGCTGCTCGTGTTCTCGCTATATGTTGCAACTTCTTGTTTTGTTTATTCTCGATCGACAATGGACAGTTCTAAGGGAGACGTCTTCTCCGTTCGATTCACTGGTAAGAAGTTTGCGCTCTGGGATTTTCAATTCAAGCTCCATGTTCAAGGACGTCGTCTTCTGTCCTTTCTTGATGGTTCGGCCAAAGAACCCGCTGCGGATGCTACGGATAAGGCTGAGGAGGATTTGGCTGTCTCGAATGTGACAGTTATGTCTTGTTTGCTTGGCTCAATGGATCCTGGTATTGCTCTAAGTCTGCGAGGTTTTAACACAGTTGCGGAAATCTGGCAGCATCTCAACAATCTCTACTCCAAGCCGAGTGTCTCTTATAAGTTTGATATTGAGTGTGATTTTGGCCGTTTGACGCAGGGTGATTCTAATGGGAGCACGTATTATCATAATGTTGTTACTATCTGGACTGAACATGATCACTTGACCAACACTTTATTATCATGTAACTCGATAGATATCATTAGAGGTGGCAATTAGGATCCAAATCCATGAATCCAATCCATCCACCAAATTATCCACTTAATCCAATCCATTTAAATCCAATCCATTTGATCCAAATCCAATTGGATTGGTGGATTCATGGATCAATCCATGGATCCAAATGGCAAATTACGATTTGGTACCTATATTTTTTATATTTTACATTTTGGTACCTAAAATTTATATCTTTGGAAAATTACATTTTGGTACTTGAAAATTTTCATTATGACCTTTTAGTACCTAAACTTTTCAAAATTTACATTTTGGTCCAAGCCTTTGATGTCATTTGGATTCATGGATCAATCCACCAATCCATTTGATCCAATCCATAAATCCACCAATCCATTGGATCCAATCCATTTGATCTATGGATCCACCAATCCAATCCACGAATCCACGAATCCGATCCAATTGCCACCTTTAGATATCATATACAAAGAGCTTTCTGCGGAGAGCAAAAGGATAGTTGGGTGAAAAGTTTTGGGACCAAATAAAAGAAACACATGGATGAAACTTGAAAGAAAGTAACAATCATTGTAATTTGAAGGTGATTTGATTGGGAAAGTAGTTGCCTACTATCTGGGTAAAGGAATGAAGAATTAGGGATGTTCAAACGGTGTGTTTAACGTATTAATCGTTTTAACCGGTAGTATTTGAATAATTTGGTTAGGTTAATTTGGATAATTGGTTTGGTTAGGTTTGGTTAAATTTTTTAGCTTGTTTGGTGTAGGAGATTTGGTTTGGTTTAAGACACTCTTAACCGATCAAACCAAATTAACCAGTTAAGTAATTAGCTATATATCTAATATATTATATACATATACTTAATATTTTGCATAACCACTCAAGAGTCAAATGTAAGACAATTGTATTAGTTACATGTATTTATGTTAAGGATTAACTATAATTTTTTGTTGATTTTTATGTGTTGTTCATTATATAAATTGTGAATTGATGCACTAACCAACAAATTTTCTTACTTAATGATAATGTAATGGTATATTGGTTATTTTGGTTAACCGATTAACCAAACCGAATAAACTCTAGTTTGGTTAATTTGGTTGTTGTATTAGTTTGGACGGTTTGGTTATGATATTGTATTCCATTGTTAATAAAATTAGACTTATTTGGTTTGGTAATTATCATGATAACCATTTGAACACCCTATGAAGGACTTCTCAGAAGCACTATCAATAGCTTATTAATTAAATAACAACCTTTCTTTAAAAAAACACAGTTCTCTAAAAAAAATCCGACATATGTTGTTTTAATAAAAATTATAATTATACCAAATCATATCATAATTTCATCACATAATTCAGAATTTTAGTTAAATTGCTAACTTACAACATTTATGATTTAACTGCTATTATTGAACACTTGTTTGACCGACCGACCTACAGTCCTACACAAAAATTCCCATTCATTGCATTTTATTTATCTTATGAAATCCACAGAAGAATATTTCATTGGAAATATCAGTAAAATAATAAATCGTTAATTATTGTCGAAGAATAATTTGTCGGAAACCTGGAGATGGGAAAGGATTCACGGAATCGACCTCCTATACTAATTACTAAACTAAACTCAACATATAAGAAACCTACAAATTAGGCGGCTAACAATTATCAAATTGAGACTGGCCGAAAGGGAAAAAATCAATCAAATGCCAATATTCTCCAAAGGCACATGGGAGATCGGAAATGTGGCATGCATTTACGGCTATCCGCTCTCTCCCTATCATATATGCATCAACCACATTCACACACTCCATAATTCCCTCCAATTCCCCTATTATACGAATTGCAAAATCGTATAAGAAATCAAATTGATAAAATTAATCGTTCAAGATGTAGTAACAAAATCATTAATATCGTGACAAAACTATATCGGATTGATTGTGATGAGATGGATGATTCAATGGGAATATAAATAGTCGATGGAGTAAAAAACAAATTAAAGCGTAAGTTGAAACCATGTGTTTGTTGGACAAAGAGCAAGTAGTGAACAATTATTGAGGAAGAAGGAAGGAAGGAGGAGGAGGAGAAAGCCAAAAAGGATGTGAGTGGCTATGGGCTATGGCGTATGATGATGATATGATAATATAAGTAGAAAAGGGAAGGCCATACGTTATTTGATAATAATCCGAGCGAGAAAAAAAAAATGAGGAGAAGTTTGATTAAGACGTCACTTTCAATTCACGCCATTATTATTAGTAGTAGTAATAGTAGGTAGGGGAAGAAGAAGAAGAAGAAGAGGAGGATGACACCTCCACCCTAATATCATCCATGTGAGAGTTGCTTGCTCCAATCCAAATCCTACTCCCCAACTTGCCCCGCCCCACACTCCACTCTCCATCACTTACACATTTTTGCGTTGTAACGATGTGGCAGATCGAGTTTAAATTTTTCCGGATTAGAATTGGCTTATTAGACACTTTAAATAGCGCCATTAATGAAGACTGATGGACCAGTAATCAAATTTGGATTGTTTAAATAACTTTACTGACCACGAATGAACGAATGAAATAAAATATTTTTAGCGATAAACATGAATTTTTTTAATATAGCATGAGAACTAGTGCAGAGGTGGATCCTTTGACTAGCTAACAGCCTTTATTGGTTCACAAGTCATTAATTCTTCGAAAGGACACCAAATTCTTACATCCAATGTTCATGTTATTTCAGGAGAGGAGAGGACCCTATTCGGGTTGGGACTGTATCTACACGTTAGGTACGATGGGTTTACGTTTGGAGAGGTAGCTGTACTGGAAATTCGAGATCATCCATGGCAAAATGGTCCAATTCTAGCTTCATCCTAGAATTCCCTTTTCCAACTATACATTACTGACACATTCTTCTTCCTTCTGATTTCGTCGATCCTTTTATCTGAGGATCTTCAGATACTGATTCAGATTAGTCCAAGTTTCACTCATTTTTTTAGTAGTTTCGGTTTTTTTATAAGAGTGACATAGATTGATTATTTTAATTAAATGTATGGGAGAAATCTGAAATCGAAATCTCTCATTAGCACATTCTTACTGTGAAAGAAAATTATGTTTTCGTAAACATATTCTTAATTTTTTGTATACCTAATCCATGAAATACAAAAACAAAGGAACGTAAATATATAGGGGAAAAAAAATCAAAACGGGGCCACAAAGGCAGAAGAAACCAAAGCGATTAAAAGATGGGAAATTGTTATTTGTGAGAGAGAGAAAACGACGTCGCAACTTCCAGACTGGACTGGACACACCACTCGTTTGGCCAATTTGCCTATCCGCTCCCACACCAAACGACACCCAAATTCAGTTCATCTTCCCACCCTCAAACAAACAAAACGGCAGGGAAAAGAAGAATATGATAATAAGATAATTACTTAATTAGCACCCAAAAAATTGAACACACTCCACTTGCAATAATCTCGTTGCTGCTAACCATAAAAAAATAATAATCTCCTTGCTAAATTATCATTATTATTATTTAATTTGCACCGAACAGCTGAAATTTACAATTAAATTTCAAGGAGCCTGTAGTAACACGCCACGTATACCCCCAGACGACAAATTGCCAACCATCTCCATGTTCAGTTCCCACCACATAACAGACTCCCCAAGTAAGAAAACGAAAATTTATAGCGATAAACAAAATATATATATATGTTTAAAAGAAAAATTACTTAACGGCGTTGTTATTATGACCTCATAATTCCATCCATCCCATGAGAGAATGTTCTAGACGCTGACGCTGCATCGCTCGGCCAGCGTGTACTTAACGGCGTTATTGCCGACAAGCACGCCGGCGTTTCGGTTGCCGAACTGGATGTAGGCGTCGCAGCGGGCGTACAGGTGGTACCTCCCGGAGATGAAGGCGCCGACCTTGAACCTGACGCGGCCGTCCATCTTGATCATGAGCTGGACGGCGCCGGCGGACTGGTCCTGACCGAGGGAGACGGCGTTGTAGGGGGCGACGGGGACGGCGGTGCCGTAGACGAAGGGTGACCAGACGTTGACCTCCTTGTGGCCCTGGTAGAAGGGCTGGATCTGGGTGCGGAGGGTGATCTGCTGGGTCCGGTACTCGGCGTAGACGTCGAGGCGGTCGTAGTAGACGCCGATCTTGTCGTTTGGGTTGCGGGTGGAGAAAGTGACCTGGAGGTTGGAGGTGAGGAAATTGGGGGTTGTGGCGTTGAAGGCGTAGACGGTGGCGTCCTGGAGGATGAAGCTGGGCTTGCTGGGCCGGAGCACGGCCCAGATAATGAGGATTGTGACCAGGACGATGAAGAGGAAGACCAGGATCCCGGCGAAGATCCGGCGGAAGATCTTCCGGCGCTTGTGGCCGTGCCCGCCGCAGTCCTTCGACGACATAGTGGTGCGCGCACGGTGGAGGAAGAGAGAGAGAGAGAGAGAGAGATAATGGGGAAGGGAAACGAGTGAGCTGAATTGTGTCAGTGTTTGTGAAGGGAGAGAGATGAGATAGGAGAAAAGGAAGGAGGAGGAGAGGCCTTTTTGTGTTTGGGGAGTGGAGACGGTGACGTGTGAAAGAAACGCGTTGTGGGTGTGTGATTCCTGTGAAATTTATAATTTACCTACCATGCCGATAACACAATACTATTTGGATTGAATTGCGGGTGTGTGGTGAAATTATTGTTGTAAATATTGTTGGTTATGGTGTTAGTTATAAGAATGTTTGATCCAACGGATAATAATGCCTTTAAAGAGTATTGCAAAAGCATAAGTATGTGCTGATTATCAACTAGGTTAATAATCGTAAGATTTTGCATTGGTTGAGATGATGTCATTTGTTCGATTAATTTATATCAAGATTAATATATCTTGAGGGGAGTATTTAAGTTGTAAGATTATCAGATCTTAACAATTCTTTTAAATTTGTTCGAGTGCTAGTTTTCTGTGAAATTTCTTACTGTGTCAGTTATCTACAATGTATAGCAGTAAATTTTGTCATAATTTACCTCTCAAATTTCGAACAATTTCAGCTCAATAGTAATTAGGCGAGTGAGTGGTAGAAGCTGCTTTTTGGAAGTTGGAAAGGGGGAGGAGGAGAGTACGTGGGTGATTGAAGTGGGAGCTAAGAAAGTGCGGAGGGATATCCCTTGGATCACACAATCATGCATATGCTTGAACAAATCAAAATCACTTTTTCAGGATACCATTGTGTAAAAGAGAAGTCATTCTCTCATCATCAAGCCTGATTATTTATTTATTTATTTATTTTTATTATCTACATGATTAAGTGGTAAATCCTACAAAATTTTATCTGGCCTTCCATATTTATTTCATCTAATGGCAAAAAGAAAAAAAACATACTGATTAAGAAGGGAGCCCAAAGGGATGACATGATAATTTTCTTGTTTTTTGTTTGGCTGACAACCTGTCACGAATCTAAAAAAAAAGATTGAGGATTTTTCGACCGGTCAGTCAAACATTGTTTTTCCTAATCTATCTCGTTTTCTTATTCCGGTCATATCACACCAACTAAATCGACAACCACAACTTGATCTGGGATCAACTATAATTTCATCCTTATATTTAACTGAGAGTTAAATGTGGAAAGTATTACTAATTACTTGCTCTCTAGCGGCTAAATAAGTACTCAGATATTTAGGTACACAACATTAGCATCTGCAAAAATCCAAAGCATCCATCTAGAGCCGAGCTCATTGGCGTTTGTTGGGCAGTCTATTGATGGAAATGTATGTGCCATTTTGTGAACAATAATTCAGAGGGAGGGGTCAAATGGTCAAATGGGGTCGTGGATTATAAATTGACGTAATTGCCACTGATGTTGCTATTGTGTGGTCTAATTATTGGAAAATGGAATTTCGCCTTTTTGGTTAATTAATCACCAAACGACAAAGAGCCCAAAAGGCAGCCAGATTCTTTTTTTTATAGATGCTGCTCTGCCCACTAAAACTAACGGTTTGTCTAGCAAATGGAGTTGCGTTTAAACCCATTCAAGTGCATGATTGAGGACATTGCTAAATATGACTCTAATTATACTTAAATCGAACTAACTTAATAAATAAATTTAGCTATTTACTCTTATTTATTATTATTATTTTATTTTTAGAAAAATACAAATACAAAAAATAACATGTCAACTTAAAAAGGAGCATCTTTTTTTCACTACCGCCACTACTACCACTAGCAGTACCGAGTTTACAGTGATGGCGGCGTAGAGACATGAACGATGACATAACAATAAAAGGAGAGGAGGACTTGGGGTTTGAAGTAAGAGAGAATTGTTAGTGTGTATGTTTGTTATATATATTTTTTTATATTTGATGAATAATAGTCTAGTAATTTACACTTTTAAATTAGAGCGATCATAATAAACTAAGACGAAGTTTAATCTTGCCAATGATTTATCTTTTGGATGGATAGAAGTGTAAATTTATATTAATGGAAATTATAATTTTCTAAGCCAAAATTCCTTCATCTCAAATATCCTCCAAACAGATAATTATTTGTCAATTCCATCAGTGAAAATGACAAATTAATATAGTTCATTCTCTAAAATTTACTACCCTAACTGCCTAACAACGGAAGGGCAAAAAGACGGGAACGGCTACGGTGCTAATTGTACAATAGTTAGCACCGGCTTAACCAAAGGAAAAACTACTACTAGTTTGAATTAGTAGTGATTTAGCTTAGATGTTGTATTGATTTTATAATAATCCGTAGTGATTTTTGCTAGTTATCACGGTGCTAACTCCTATAAAGGTTAGCACCTAATCCCATCTCAAAAAGACTAGCAAACTGGAGAATTCGTTAATGAGTGATTTGTTTTGAACCGTTGGATGGTGATGGGAATTAGCAAGGGAGATAAGATAAAAGCGCTGCACGTGTCAAGTGGGTAACATGTGGGGCCAACGTGCGATGACTTAGAAATTGACGAAACGAATAGGCTGGTTGGCTGGCTGGCTGGCCGACGATTATTCCTCGCTAGACAAATACAATTTCTTCCATTCCACTCGACCGACGTTTTCTTTTCCGAGAACTTGCTATCTTTCCCCCTTTCCACCAAAAAGCCCAACGACCTCAAAGTGCAAGTGAGCAACCATCAAATCAAGCAAACAACCCGACATGAATATTCATATTTCATAAGTAATTAAAGAGGAATGGGAAAATGTTGGAGAGTGATATAAGATTTCGTATAACATTTTTTTAATAATTCGAGTTATTGAGACCAACTAGTTTATGACATAGTATCAGAGTTAGTTTGTATTAGAGTATTTGTAGTACGAGTAGTATTGTGTTATAGTACGAGTATTGTTATATAATTGGTCAGGGTTACATTCCTTATTAGAGTCGTATTACTTCAGTAATTGGTCAGGGTTATGACATGTGAGGGTTATTATAGAAGTCAGTCTCTATACTCTTGGTCAGGGTTATGACATGTTAGGGTTATTATAGAAGTCAATCTCTATACTCTATATAAATCCTATGCGGTTTCAGTAATAATACATACTAGTTTCTATTGTATTCTGATCTACCTAACAGTTTGGCCAAAGTGATCGTGTGTTCGAATCCCCCCCCCCCAACCCAATATTAACAGTTGATTAAAGCACAATGTATGAGGGGCCTGTGCAAACTTCAAGGCTGTGAGTTGGTTTTCGTTTGAGAGGGCATGTTAGAGAGTGGTATAAGATCCAACATAACCTTCTCCCAACAACTCGAGTTATTGGGACCAAATGGTTTATGACAGAAAATGAAGGTAGAAATTTATTTATAATAATTTTACCACATTTCACAACCGTCTACTACTATTTATTATCTTATATCAGGGTGGTGTAATGTATAAGGAAGTATATTTGTTTCCATAATTTATTTTTTATAAATTTGTAGATCACGACAAATCTATTACTTCATTGCGAAAATTTTCATGATTGCGGTTAAAAACGAAAATTTTCATGATTACCGTAAATGAATATAATTTTGTATATGACAATGAACCCATATCTTGTGTGCAAAAAATTATAAAATCCAAATTAAAATGAATAAAATACAAATCGATTAAAAATAACTAGAAAAATATAAAGTTCTTTAATCTCGCCCCTTTACATCTGGCCTTATTCAAAACCAAATAACCATATCTAAAGGTGACAAATGGATTTGTGGATTGGATTGGTGGATCATGGATCAAATGGATTGGATCTAATGATTGGTGGATTATCCATGAATCCAAAATGACATCCTCAACCAAGGACCAATATGTAAAATATGAAAAGTTTAGGTACTAAAATGCCGTAATGAAAAATTTTAGGTATCAAAATGTAAAAAATGAAAATTATAGGTACTCAACTGTAATATTTCAATGATCCATGGATTCAATTCATGAATCCACCAATCCAATTGAATTTTGGATCAAATGGATTAGATATAAATGGATGGGATTAATTGGATATTTTTAATGGATTGAATTGGTGGATTGGATTGAAATTGCCAACTCTAACAAGATCTAACTACGAACAAATACATGTCTAACATATATGCACATATTCTAGACCAAAATTTAACTAACTTGACTATCCACCTAACGACTAATTGCGCAATTAGATGTGGATGCGTGTTGTAGACGAGATTGCCTAGCTTGGCTTGTCTTGTGCCACGAACTGAAATTCATCAGTACCCTTAATTAGTTAGGTAGATACTTTGGTTTTTTACTGTATCAAATGATTAATTCTTGCTTCCAAGAGACGCAAAATATATATACAACAAACTCCCCCACCAACTGGGAAAAGAAAGTGGGGGTGAAGCAACTGGGAAAAGATAGCTAACTTTCGGGTCAGTCCCCCGGCCGGCCGGCCGGCCACTATTATTATTTAGGCATTTGACAAAACAAAACATGCTCCTCGGCCTTCCACCTAACCTACGATTTGATCCAACAACGAATAATTCCCTCGCTCACTTTTCAATTCCCTTTTTTCGTTTTCACTTGTGTGTTTCTTCCCGTTGCGAACACTCTGGAGTCGTATATATTTAGTCGTTTTTGCAAATTTGTCCAAAAAGGACGGCAGAGGGCCAAACCGCCGGGGGTCGGTCTTGCTCTGTTTACGAGGCCGGCCGGATTCTCAAATCTCCCTGTTTTTCGTGATGCGGAAATACGAAATAATACGGAACACAAGATTTTACGTGCTATCCTCGATCGATTGATTGATCGAGACTAATCCACGGTGAGCTCGAAAGAGCTCACAGCTGACGATTTTATTATGGGACTACATTGTGACGGCTTGCTTACGACAATCTCGTAGCTAAACTTATATAGAGAGACTTAGGGTTAAAACCCTAATAACAACCAAGTTCCTTCTTTTACCGGAACAAGAAAACAAGGAAACTTGGAGAACAAGGAATTAATTACTTTTTAACTAAGTAATTAATATCCTCAACAATATGTAGAGAGGCGGTGGGAAAAACAAATCTCTAAATGATCAACATCCCATGGTACACAATGGGATTCCACGTGTTGCAATATTTTTGGGTTTAGTTGTGATAGAAACCACGATTCTGCTCTTTCTGCATTTGAA